GACCCTCACATTCCTCAGTCCTACTGACCCTGACACACAATTCACTGAAAAAAATCCCCCTCGCCTAATTCCAGTCGCCCCAGAATCATCTTGAGAACCATTGTAAAGACAACCGCATGGCGCTGCCCTGGTTGCTACACGGAGCCCCTCCACCCTCTCCTCCCACGAGGGGCCGCAAATAGTCACTTTCCATCCATCCCTCTTTAATGGACGTTCGGCTGTCTTTCCCCCTCCCTACCCCAAAACGGATAAAGGATCGAAGAGCCCACCCTTGCCGGGATCGAAGAGCCCACCCTTGCAGACGCGCCGACGCTCAGGGTCACACAGCAGGCAGCCGGCCGCGACTTCTGCGCCTGCGCACTTGGCGCGCCCCGCCCTCCCAGCATCCCTAGCGTGCGGGCCGTTAGTCGTCCCAGGCTGTGTGCGGTCGGTGGGTGGGTGGTATTAGTACCGTGGCCTCAGGCATTACCTTGAGACCTTTCGGCGTCTCTGGGGAGTAGACCTGGCGAAGGCGCTGCGGCGCGAGGGGTAAGGATGGGGGAGGGGAGGCCACGCAGAGCATCGGAGCCCACCGCCTGGGGCCCCCGGTGTGCGAGGCAGAGGCAGGAGGTGTGGTACAGTGTGTTGTGGGCGTGACAGGGCCTGAGGGTGGCTTCGGGACTCTGTGGTTGTGAGGCAGGGACTGGGAGTGACGCGCTTTGTGACTTCAGTGGGTACCAAAGCGTCCTGTGTGCACTATGTGGCTGTGGCCAAGGAGTGACCGTCTTTGGACCCTAGTGTCTAATGATGCATGGCCACATCGGACCCAGGACAGAACAATTACCTCTAATCATCACCTGAGCGCTGTGGTGAAGAATCCACGCAAAAAAGCCCAGACCCGATTGTAGGTTAAGAATGCTAGAACTGCATCGCGTGGAGTGGCACTCTGCTGTATTCAGTCCCAGCACTTTGCAGGCGTGAAGTAGGAGGGTCAAAAGTTCGAGCTCAGCCTGGGTAATCTA